CGAGAACGAACTTTATTCGAGCGAAAACGTATGAGTAAACGTGATTAGCCGTAGCGCCATGAAAAAATAAAAGAAGAAACATTTAGCTTCTGTTTTTTATTCAAACTAAGAAGAATCTTTACGTAAAAAAAACGTTTACTTAAAAAAAGAGAAACTGAGGTAGCAAAAACAAAGGTAGCCATTAGACGGTTACTCAACCACATTTCTTCTTTTAGAAAGATCTAGCCGCGCATGTTTCATGTCTCCAATTATCGGTCTATCTGGGCGTCCATCTAGCCGTCTATCGGGCTTATTTAATTACATCGGGAGCGCGGCATGCAAACTGGAGTTCCGGCTCAGACGACCTCTGACACCGACCTTCGACTGCCCCGAGGCTCTTCTCGGGCAGGGAGAGAGAGGGCAGATAGACCCCAGTTTGCACGGGTCACCCCAACGATTAAAGTGGCCGCCAGCAACCCCCCTCCTTTCCCTATAGCCTCCTCTCCCCGTTTACCTGTTCCTCAGCCCCCTTTCCACGTTGGTCCTTTCACTCTCGGTCTTCGGAGACGGGAGCAGACGATACGACGACCGAGAATACATATATACGTCTGCTAAGCTAGAGGGACACTTCACCCTCATTGTGGGGTGCGACGGAATATATATAGTATATGTTTCCAGAATTTCATCATTCGAGAGTTCATTCGAGGCACAGAACGTATGGTTTAAGACGAGTGCATCAAAAGTTCTACTCAAACCAGGGTGTGCATAAGTGGATGGTTGGGTGGATTATGGATGGAGCTGCTAAAACCTTCGAATCGGGCGGTGAATTACGCCACCTAGCGGTGCTTCTTTCCTTTTTTTTTTTCCTTTGTCAGCTGCTAACATACATATTAAGATTAAGTCATCTCTAGTCCCCGGCTCCAAAAGCGATAATAAAATGCTCGGAATGCACCACGCCCTTCATTTCTTAACCTGTAAATTACTGTAGTGGCCGCCACAAAAAAAAAAAAAAAAAAAAATCTTTTAAATCGGAGTTTGATTGGCGGTGATGTCGGACACAGGTGCCCCGAGGTTTCCTTAAATTAATTCTGCGTTGCCGGATTCGGTGCATAGACTGGCTTCTGATAAGGGCCTGCTGTCCCCGGGCTCTTTAATTGAGACAAAATAAATAGTATATATGTACTCGTCAGTATTATGATAAAAGACGCGTGTCATCGTAAATTGTAACCTCCTCTAAACTAAAAAAAAAAAAAATAACTTTTGAAGGCGCGAGGTGTAGCTCTCGAACCTTGGATGATCGCTTTTTCGAGCAATACTTGGCGTTCACGCTCACTGCCTTAGTTCCTTATCTGATATAAAGCGCGACCATAATAGCTTTTTTACTGCTCTCGTCCTGCAAGGAAAAGAAAACTGGGAGCTTCCAGTTTCCGTTGGTGTACATTTGTCGCTTTTTATTCGTCCGAGCTAGAAACACGTGTGGTTTGCAGTACTTCATAAATAAAAGAGGAAAAATATATATATTGGCTAATCTTTGGTACCAAACGCCGGAAAAGTGTGCTCTGTCTTAAAGAGGCACTGTCAGGTCAAAATCTTTTTTTTTTTTTTAAATTTTATTATCCGAAACGATTGGAAACGATACCTTGGCATTACCCTCAAAATTCGAAACTTGTATTTGAGAAGTAAAAAAAAAAAAAATTCCAAAAGCCGAATTTGAAGTTCTTGCGCGATCCGCGGCAGTGCAGTGACGTCAAAGATTGAGTCGTCCTGCAACTCGAGTTTCTCTTACAGCTCCGTGACGTCTTCGCCCGCGTCTCGCGATCAACCGCTCAGTGCGTGCTCCTAATCGCTGTGAGCAGACATCGCTTCATTTCCGAGTTCGAAGTTCTTTTAGGTCTCTTTCAGTGATCTCAAATTCTTTAAAACGGTATGTGGTCGAAGAGAACGCGCAGCGGACTTTTGTGAGCGACGTGAAGGGCCACGTCGTGCCGGTTCTGCGTGAAAGGCTGCCCCGGCGGAGTCACAACCGAAACTATGTACACAGACACCAAACCTGGTTGTTTGGACCGTTTGACGATTTTCTTCTCGACATCTGAGGGGCCGTCGGGCACCTAAAGAAGAGAACTTCGTTTGATTCTCCGACTCATCGATCATCCTCAGTGCTACATCCGTCGACCGCCGCCATGTTTTCCGAGGGAGGATAAAAAGCCAGGAGGCGACACCACTCTAAACTCCAATTTTCGGTATTAAAAAAAAAACAAAAAAAAAACGGCCGTAGTGCGTTTGGAATTGCGTTTAGAAACATGTTTAACGAATGCCGTTATTAAATATTATCAAATGTCACTTAGAAAGCTTCTAAATTTCATAATAAATTACGTCAGAAATAAAAAGAAGCGAGGAAATGAGGAGCGAGAGAGAAAGGTGCCAAAAATTAAAAATAAAAAGCATGCGCGCGGGCGGTAACTTTTTTTTGTGTGTGTGTTGTGGTATATTTTTGCGTGTTTATGACTACAACTTGCATCGTCTTTTACAAAAAAAAAAAAAAAAAAAATAGCGACCTTCGGGGTGTCAATACTCCTTTAAGCCGGGGTCACAACGCTAAGACATCGTACAAAAAAAAAAAAAAACAATCTGCAGGCACTGACTGTCTGAGGCGTGTTTGCTCCTCGTACGGCGGTCCTGTCAAATTGCTAAAAAAAACACTGTCTGCAGAGAGGTTTGAAGCATACTCATATGTATGAAATAAACATTTTTCGATCAATGCTCGCAAATAATTCAAATATTATGTCCGCAGCGAGTCCCTTCTCTTTTCTATGATGCATGAGCACTGGGACTGCTGCTTGTGGGAGGAGCACTGAGCACACGAGTCACCCAGAGCCTAGAGTGAAGTAATCCTGAAATCCTCTATTTCCGGATAGCCTTGACCAGTTTGTTCTGGGATTCCCAGACTTGTGTGACTTGGTTGCACAAGATGGAAATTAGCGGTTTGGTTAGAAAAGAAACAAAACAAAAACATCAAAAACAACAGCAACCAAATCAAGCATGCAGACGGAAACAAATTACATGTTGCGCCGAAGATGTGTCAGCGATCGCCCATTCCGTTTAGTGTATGCAATACAGGCACGAGGAGCTACAGCCACAGCTCTTTCAATACTCGAATGTATAGAGTTCCTATATATAGCTATACCTATACGGTAGCAGAGTTGCGTATTCAGCCTCGGCGGGTGGCCGTAGCGCCGGCTTTCCTGCACGGCCCCGGATCCTTTGCTCGTCACGTGACTGAATTCGGCGAATAGCGGCACCGCGCGTGCCGCCATGCGTGAAAGACAGAAAAGGAGGAGAAGGAGGTGGAAGCAGGAGAACACATGCCTGGGAGCGTGCAACGTCGGCGGAGCGACGGTAGCGGTGACTTTCCTGCACGGCGCTGGATGCCTTGCTCCTCACGTGATCGATCTCGGCGAATAGCGGCGTGGCGGCACGGGAAAATCAGATGCGCAACCTTCGGTGGAGCATATCGAGGAACTGTACTCGAATCTAGCCTGCTGTGTCATCGAGCCGGACAAACTACAGCAACTGAAATTACAGTAAATCAAGTGTTTGTCCCCCTTTTCTTTTTGCGTTCCTCAATTCTCGTGGTTTTGAATGAAGATATAATAAAAAAGTAAGCAAACATTGCCTTTAAAAATATAACCGACTCTTTTTTCTGTAGCTTTTCGCGCCACATTTTGTAACACGCGTTAATCGAGTATGAAATCGTCCGCCTGAAGCACGCCCGACGTTGAAATTAAGAGAACAACTAAAGCAGTAAACAGAAACAAGAAACCGATTCGGCGAAATAGCGCTGCAACTAAGTCATCCTCGAAACGGGTTTCCAAAGCGACAGTGCGTGTGCCTACTACCTGTGCTAGGAGAGTATACACGCATGCACTCGAGTGCAATAACGTGCTCTGCGTGCGTGCCGGTAATAATGCCGAAGCGGGCAGGCGAAAGAGTATACAGAGGGGAGGGCGCGCCCAAAAGTTCCCCACCCAGCCGCTGGGGGGCGGCACCGAACGCCCTAACAGCGGCCGTCCAATAGGGCCCCCGTTTCATTCGGCACTTTATCCGCTTCATTCACTGTTTGTTTTTCCTCCATCCGTGTGGGTTGCGCGCGTTCTGATATCGAGGCTGTCCTCCTTTCGTTCCGATGCTGCGGGGCGGCAAGACTGGGAGGGGGAGCGAGCGTGGGCTGGCGCGAGGAGTGCCTCTAGTCCGTTTTATGTTCCGTACTTTTTTTATTATTTTCTTATCATGCCGAACTGGTAAAGCGTAGGTCTTGAAATGGGCGGCGGTCGATGTGCCCCGGGTATTAATGCGAGCGAAACGCGAGGCAGCAGTGTTCGCGTGCAAGTTCTCAACTTAGTACTGAAGGGTGGCATGTCAATCTTTACCCGACTGCTCCATTGGTGACTAGAAGATCACCAGGGGTCACTGTTGCAATTCTCTTTTTTAACACACAACCGCGCAGAATTAAAGAAATAATATATATATATATATATATATATATATATATATCCCCACTTCCGTGCTTGGACGACAATCCACGCTGGGGACGATTCCCATCTTCTCGGAACTGGAGTCCGTGCACTCGCACCTCGTGCTGGTTCAGTTATCAAAAGGTTATTGCGTTACAGCGTTTGCAATAGCTTAATTCGATCGCGAGCAGAATGTTATAGGAGCGAATGCTCACAAGCCGATAGGAGTGCGCTGCGAGACGCGCTGTATAAGTCGCATCATGATGACGTCAGAAGGGAAGGGGATGTTGTAAAAAGAAAACGGAAATCATAACGGTGCGAAAAGGAGACAGACGACTATAAACGGAAATGATCCAGTCGTATTCGTGCACGTGTCAAATTTACAGACGCAAACAACTCCAGCAGATATTTTTTTTTAACTTTTATACGGCGAAGGTGTGGTGTTGTAGAAAGTGAACCCTACGACGAACTGGAAGTAACAAAACACTTTTTTTCTCCCTCCTTCCACAGTGTTCCGGAAACATGACGTCATGCCCGAGGTTCCCATGCTGCACTTCGGTTTCTCCAAAGTGAGTGGAATTTAGTTTCGTTTGCTTTGCGAGACAAAGGGTTACACGCCGTTTCTTCGGCTGTTCCCGCAATCCTATTGGCTGTAGAGAGCGGTAATGAGATGAACGGTGCACGGGCCCTGCGGTTTTTGAAGCTCCGCAGTGACCACCCTATAGTAGCGCACTAAGTTTTGTGAATGGTCCTTAGGATGCCCTTAGGATGTAGCTAGCGTTCAGTGGGGACGTCCTGTGGGCGGGTTCATATAGGACGTCCCCAGAACGTTAAGACATCCTAAAACACCCTAAAGGACGTTTCACAGAACTAAGTGTTCTACCATATAGTGCATGTCCTCCACCATTCTGAAGAGGAAAAAAAAAACTGTAATCCGGCCTCCGGTAAATACAAACTGTTACTATAAAGAATACATTATAATCGGGTTATGCAACTGCAGAGCCTGGCAGACACGGCGAGTCGTTTATGGGTGTCATCGATACCACTTTAGAGACCGACAACCATCCTATAAACCGACGCAGTGTTTACAGACGAGCCCATGTTTGTGCATAAACCAGATTCGCGTGAGGTAAAGCTTCTGCGCATGCGCAGTGCCGACGGCAGCGCCACCCCAGTGGCGTGTGACGTCAGAGAGTTAATTTGGTGTATAAATAAACACTCGCTCGTCAGATCGGCACGCCTGACTCGTCGACCGGCACCTCACACCTCAAAACACGGCGATTGATTCGAACAAATCAAACCACATGCATTAGCTAAAAGGTGAAAAAGTCGGCCCTTCAACACGTGGCAGCCGGAACGAATGAAACGCCTGTCAGTCATCCTAAACCAGTTTTACGCCTCCAAGTTCGATTACGAGTCACCTCCCCTCGAACCTTCCCCTAAAACGCAGCCACGATAAATGCGCGCAGAATGGCAAACTTGGGCGCAGATCGAAACGCGTGCGTCTGCTGAGACGCCCGTAACAATATGGGTGCGGGCTGCGTGTGTGTGTATATATACTAATTATAACTTCGCAGCCTGCGGTTTAACCGAGTCACGTACACTTGTGACCTGTCATTACCTGCTCCCGTACCCCACTACACCACCCAACCGTGGCCCCATCGACCTCTCTAAGCCAGGCTGAAAGCAACAACAAAAAGCAACAACCGAAGCAACGGAGAAAACGTTTTAAAACAAAGGAAGAGGCTCGACGATCGCGAGCGTTGATTATGGGTTGTCGCGGTCAACCTCAGACTATGTAGGTTTATTGCTTCAAGTCAGCAGCTTTATGGCTTGCCGTATGGGTCCCCGGCCTTCCCGTAATCATCTTGAGGTTTCTCGCCTTTCGCGGTGCTTCCTTCGTTTTCTTTTTTTTTTTTTTTTTTAAGTTTTTTTTTTTGGGGTTACGGTTGCTCGATTTTCTTCGTTTCCGTACAACGGCAGCAGACGAGCTGCGATAAGTGTGTCTATGCTCTCCAATTTACACACAGGTGCATTTGGTTTCTTTGTCATGAACTCAAGAAAGATACAATAACTGTGTTTTCAGTAGGGCTATATTAAAACACACACACACGGACATACACACACACACAATTTGACTGCTGGAATAAGTTGTTGTTAACAGCCAGTAAAAATTAACCTGACGGAAAAACAAAGAAAAAAAAATGAAGAAAAACATTAGGACGTCAGGTGACACTTTAAAACACACCTAATTAGATTCGGCTATTCTGTTTTCTAGCAGCACTCACATACGTTCTATACTAACTTAGCACCAAAATCTCAATGTTCCCCCCCCCCCCAAGAAAAAAAAACAAAACAAAACAAAAAAACAATGAAGCTGTTTTGGAGTATAAGGCTACAAGGCCACGCGCGGCTAATGTTTAATTAAAGAAGGAAAAAACAGCAAAAGAAGTAGGGGGCGACACTTTAGCTCCCTAAAGTATCAACAGCCACACCGAGCTCCATAATCTTCAACAGGTTTTTCGCGCGACGAGCGATGCGTCACGATGTCCCCTTCCTAATTGCCCTCCCGTTATTAGATTAGAACCAACCTTCTTCCTGAACCGCCCAACAACAACAACGTCAAAGCAGCGTCGTGTGTCTCCAAACATGCTCCGCCATTCCCCCAACCTTCTTTCCCGCTCCAGGTTTGAAAAATGACCTCTCGCAAAGTAGCTATAGCGCGTTCCTCGTTGTTACACTTCTTTGATTACTATTGAATCCCTGGCGCCGTTTATCCGTCTTCGTTCGAACGTCGTACAACTAACGACCCGACCTTCTGCGTTCCAAAGCTCGCACCCCACTATGTTTTTTTTTTTTTTTTTTTTTAATTTATAGATTTGTTCTAGGCTAGAAGCTCTGACACGTATCTCTATTCACCGTGGGATCCGAGCGAGCACTCACGTACGCGATCTATGCTATAGCATATAAAACACCCGCCAGCAGAACGCAAGCTCGGCACCTTTTGTGTCTCGGAGGGGTTCCAAATTGCGACTAAATTACGGTGAGCGAATAAGAGGCGAAGATTCTCTCCCCACCCCGAGGGTATAGCTCAGACGGAGGTTCCCGGATGACAGAACAAAACACCTTCTACACCCCCCCCCCTCCCCATTTCTCTTTCTCTCTTTCTCTCTTTCTCTCTCTCTCTCCACCCCTCCTCCCCCCGCTTAGGGGTCGAACGAAATGCGTCAAAAACAACCCATAGCAACGACTATACTATAAACGCGATAGCGGTAGAAGCAAGCGAACAGACGAATCTTAAAACAAAATCCCTAATAGCTAGCAGGCATGACAACAATACGAGAGGGAGGAGGTGGGGAAGGGAAAAGACGGTACTGACCTCTGACCTTTCCGAAGGTCTGCGATGTGGCGGAGCCCGCATTAACCTCTGACACTCCGGGCCGTCCCATCGCCATCGCTGTAACGCGATGGCGGACGCGGCTCTCGTCTAACATGCGCATGCGCGGCGGAGCGGTGATCCGCGCGTTATGTAATGCCCCGTGTCCTTAGGCGGTGTTATGGTGGCCGCTCCGCCAACCAGAGGAGAATGGGCTGTTATTTACTTTGTACGCAGCTGCGCCATCTTTTGTTACCTTACCGGTCATCGACCGTTGGATGTTTGCAAAAAGAATGCCGGCTAATGGCTTCGATTCGTTTTCATAATTCGGAGGGTCGGCCTGTCATTAGATCATCGCCTGGTAGTTCCGGTGTGATGAATTCCAATGTGGTCATTCACTATAACAATACAGTTTATGCTGTCCGTAGGCATGCAAGATTATCGCGAATCCATTAGTGCGCGATGATTCCTCATAAAACCGCCAGAGCGGCTGTTATTTGATAATCACAGGAACAGCCTCCGTTCCACAGCGAGGCTTATTGGCATTTGAATTTAATAATTCCGAAACGGTCGGTACTGACATAAGAGCAAAGGGTTGGTTAGGATAGGGCCAGCTTGAACTGGGGAGACGGAAAACGTAAAAAAATCAGAGATAGAAGAAAGAGACCGAGATAGAGATCTCTGCCTCCATTTTTATCTCTTCTAAATCTGTCTCTCCCTCTCTTCTATCTCTATCTCTGTCTCTTTCTTCTATCTCTGATTTTAACGGGTTTTTTTTTTTTTTTTTTGCTCTCGCAAGTTTGAGCTAGCCCGTCACCAAGGAGTGGTCTGGGCAATCAATTAATTAAGCACCAGAAAAAAAAAAGGCGCTGGGGCAGAAGCACAGGGACGACGAAAGACCAAAAGAGGACAAGGCGCCTTGTTCCATGTTTTTTTGGCCCCCCTCCGTCCCTGCGTCTCTTTCAGTGCCGCTTTCCAGTACGGGACGTTGTATAGGCTCGAAAAAGTCGGTCCCTACTAAATCCGCAAAAAAAAAAAAAAAAATTAAAAAATCGTGTCTCCTGTTGGACGGCTACGTCCTTCAAAGTCTTCCGTCACACGTAACGTCGTTGACGACGGCGATGCACATCTTCCAGCAACTGGAAAGTCTCGTCGTCGTCGGAACCTAATCGCAGTGAATACTGCGGTGCGGACAATTTTTTGAATGACCAATGTAGAAACATGCCTCAGGCTGCAGACTTTCTTTTGTATGATCTATTTCAAGTTCGACTGCATGTGAATGCCTCCTCTCCCCTCAACCTGGTTTCGTATACAAAAAAAAAAAAAAAGTAGAGTAGTAGAGCATTTTTCTCTTTGCCGATGCCATGGAGAGCTCGTCAAGAAAGGCAAGATGGCCTTTTACTCGCCGTGTACCATACCAGGATCCAGGAGTCACGCGACTCATCCCGCACCAAGATAAGGACGGCCCCTCCACCAAACAAAGCGCGTATTATAATTCCCTGGCGTTTTATACGGCTTATTTATTTCTTGCTCTCTTTTTTTTTTTTTTTTTAAGAAAAAGGGCGGCGAATAATTCACTTCGAAACAACGCCAGGTACAGCAGTAACAACAACAACAAGAGCAAGAAAGGGCAACAGGACCGGCGTCGTATAAAGGCGGAGCGAAATTGAGCCCCCTCCTTTCAGTAATTGCTCGCCAAGAGGCGTATGTACAGCGGCGAACGTGAAGCTGCCCTCGCCCAATCACGACCCCAGATCACGACTCGCGCTGGCGATATGCTACGTGTATCCACCGGCCGACACCGCCGCCACACCGCAACGCACGTAAACCCCCCTCTTTGTTCGTTATTGCTGTCGGTGTTGTTCTTATGCAGCTTGCGAGGAGGGCTGTATATCAAGCAGAGACGCCGCCCGCTTTGTCTGTGGCTATGGCTACTGCTCTGCTTTTTTGCTGGTTACCTCCTCAATTTCCTCTGCTCTTCTTTTCTTTTTTTCTTTTTTTGTTGACGTTTACGGTGCCGATCGGTGTCTACTCGTACACATTAAAGAAATGTTGGAACACAGAGCAAATTCACCATGTCGCCCCCCCCCCCCCCCCCCCCAAATAAAAAGGGAATTGTCAATGATTTTTGAATTAGTGTCGAAAAAAAATCATAGCGAATAACTAAGCTTGAAATAAGATTAGGCAAAAATAAATGCGATATGCGCAGAGTTCCACTTGTTGATTGTCCCCGCGCACACTGCAGTTTTCGGACCTAAACGTACGTCAAGCTGCGTCAATCGCAGAGATTTTTTTTTTTTTTTTTCCGCCGTAAGTGGTTGTTTTCGTGTTCTGCGGGAAAGTGAATTCTCCGGCTTTTTCTGGTGTGCATTCTCTTTGTGACGTAACGACAGGCTATGCTGCACAAAATAGCGTCGATGTGAGCAGACGCGGTTTCCTTTTTTTTTTTTTTTTTTTGAGAAGTGGCAACGCTTGCACATGTTTATAGATGTGATGTGATGGGACAAATTCCCCCGTTAATCTAAATATTTCGTTCTAAATATCTTAATAGCATTGCTCCCAGCCCTAAGCAAAAGTAATACGTGCTCTTGAAGCGTGCTGGCAATAATGACAGATTTTTCCCCTATAGAGCTTTTTTTCAAATCAGTGTAAGTCTGCTATCGATGATATATCGATGTTTGCGAATGTTAATATCAATAACTAAATATGTGGAGCTTTCATAAAATTTCCAGATATGGAGTCTACTTGTGACCACCGCCTCAAAGTCGTGCTTATTTTCATGTCCGAACCATTCCTCACTTAAATTGGGATTTCTCTAATGAAATAATTTATATTGAAGTTAAGGTGATAAAAGAGACTAACTTGCAGAGACTTCCTAGAAAACTAACTGAAAGTCAAGAAAAATAGTTCTAGTTCAAAACTTATGTATTTCTCTGTCCTTTAGGCCTTTTTCCGCAGTTAGTCGCCGCCTCCTCTCTGCACACCAGGAATGGTTTTTGGTGACCAAGAAAACTTTCGAAAACTAGTGCACCTCTGTTTTTGTTTTACAAACGAAGGCAAGACAGAATTATGCCGTGGTGCAGTCAAAACGTTGGGTCATTATCTCCGGTCTGTTATGTATAAACCGCATGTAAGCGCTTTGACGAGAGACGAGTCAAGCGACGGCGACACGCTGGTTCAGTCGCGCGATGAAGCAAACCGCATGAAAGCGACGGGAGCAAGCAACCAAGGCGATGAGTGACGTTTTCTAGAAATCCAAAAACCGAGCGACGCGACGAGCAACAGTGAGAAACCTCCGTCGCTCGTCGCTGACTCTCGTCGCTTATGCCGTCTCTCGTCTCATCGCTCGCCAAATTGCTGGCATGCGGTTCCGTCTTTAGTGACCACTGGCATATGGCACGACTTAGGCGCCACCAAAAACGACGGACGGCCACGTCTGCTACTATTGCGCATGTGCAATGGCGACCCCGAAAAGAAGCCCATTTCTTCACTATTGGGTATCCAGCATTTTCGTATAAAACCTAGATGCCAGCTTAAGTTGTGCATGTTAAGAATAAGCAGGTCAGTAGATTTTCACTATATTACGCTCTTTCGCGCGTGAGTTGACATGTGGTGGCGCCATTGTGCAAAGAGCCCCGCACCATTTCCGGTTCTGAACTAGACGGCGGGTTTCGCGGTATTTTCGAAATCACATATTCACGCTATCTTCTCGAAATGGCCACTTATAGCACTGTCAGACTTAATTCACTCTTATGGTAAAAGAACGACGAGTAAAAAAATTAGGAAATATACGTGAACCGGAAGTGTGCCGAGGCTACCCAGTAGGTGGCGCCACATGAATTTGTTTGCAAACACAGAAATGACGAATATCAGTTTCAATACTACGACAAACATACATTTTAACCCGTGTCACTCCAATTCGTCTTCAAGATCAATCGGTTTCTACTCAGAAAACGAGGTTACGTTTTTGCGATGCTTCACTGCAGACTACGGTGACATGCGGTAGAAGTTCTAAGCACAGCTTGTCTTCTCTGAAGGCTTGCTTCTCTGCCCAGCCGAACGTCGCCCTCTCTTGCCTCCGATACCTCTTCGGCACGTCGAGTGCGGCCATACTCAGCACGTCGCCGCTTCAGTTCAGCAATCTCCTCTTCAGTTCGTTCCTTCCTCTTGCGAGGCATTGTAAAGTGGACTGCGGCGCACCCCGTGAGCGACGTGCGGGCGACAAGGAGGAGAGAACGGCACATAGCGTGCCGCACACCCGCACATGCGCACATTAAGGAGGGCACTGAGGGCATCACGTGTAATTCACTCCCCCATCGCATGCGCTTCGATGTAATACGCGGAATGTTTTAGGGACGTGAGGTAAAGAACCGTTACCACATTTAAAACCATTCATGCAACAGAGGATGACTATGCAGAAAACTTCCCACGGTCCTACTTTCTCACAGCCCGCTACGAGAGCCAATCACAGCTGTGTATACAGAAGGAGCTCGGCATATGACGAAAGCCGATAAAGCCGTCTCGACCTAAATGTCAACGGGACGTGAGCATACGAAACGTGATGATCAGTGTCACATCGCAGACGTGTTCTATAGGTCGAAGCGTTTTTTGTCAGTCTCTTCGTTCATCGAGTTCACCATGTGGTCGGCCTTACGAGTGTCATGCAGAAAAAACAAACGGGCGGGCTTCATTCTTTTTTTTTTTTCTTTTTTTCAGGGTGCAGAACAAAGGAAAGTGAAATCAGTCACGTGTGCATACACTGCCGCCGTTCGGTCATATCGCATCCCGAGACAGAACCGCGCATTGTTCGCCGATGATGTAACTCTCCGCAATTTTCGTCGAGCCAAACTTCACCGTCAGCGCCCACACCGAAGACAATCGTGAGATCGCGGACTCGGCGCACTCTGCAAGGCGCCTCCCACACATTGCGAAGGAGTCCACACTAACAGGATTCACGTAAACCGAAAACTGAAAACAAAAACAGAAGAGAGGTTGAACTGAGAGAAAGGGAAGGTGATCGGCGGCGGATGTCTCGATGACTTTACTGCGTCCAACAGCGCTTCTGCCGTCGCCTCCCCTTGCTCCAGTTGTGAAGAGAACGGAACGCAGGTGCTAGTGTGTCTCCTTTAACGCTCCACCGTAAAAGAGACGGCCATCGGACGTCGTAGTCGGTGCGAGGTCCTTTGGAGATAGCGTCGGATCCGAGCGTGTTCAATAAAAAAGGGACCCTGCAAGGGCGTGCTTTACGACGCCCGGATGACGGCTTATAGGGCCGGCAGGGGCTCGCGTGTGAAGCTGTCCTCATCGATGATCCTGCACTAAAACGGAAGAGCGCCGCGCGCTCAGGGAACACCGCGGTGCCTTATGACCAGGATATGATTGGCATTCCTCGGGGTCTTCGAGATCAGTCACGCGATCGAGCTGCTACGACCCGCTACGCTATGGGCGACTCCGTGACCCCTGCATCCCTGACAAAGGTCCTGGTGCAACTCATGCGTCTATATGCTTGTTTTTGGCGATGGCATATGCTGGAGTCTGTTGGCAAGTTTTTTGCAACAACTTTGCCATTTGCAACAACATAAGCCTGCCGCCAGAGCAGGCACGCAGCCGGGGGGTGGCCTATGGGGCCCGCCCCCCCCCCCCTCCCCCCCCCCTCCCCCCCCCCCCGAAATCTTCCATTTCGCTGGAACCTCCTCTCCCCCTCCCCCTCATACAGCATTTTGTCATGGGCGCCCCCCCCCCCCCCCCCCCAAACAAAAACCTGGCTACGTGCTTGCGCCAGAGCATACAGTTCAGTTCGCAGTGAAGTGCTACACTGCAATGCGTCTTGCCGCAGTTCTAAACTTTGCATCCTCTGCAGGCTCGCTTTCGTAGAGCACGCCTGAATCGAAGAAAAGTGATCGAGCTCCTGGCATGGCATCTATATCCCTTTGGCAGTAGAACAATGCCGACGAAGATGTTAGCATATACGGTGGTCGGGACTAGGAAAATGCCAGTCGCATGAAGTTGAGGACACTATGGCTTATTGCAGGATGAGCTGACCCTAAAAGAACGACTATATAGTATTGATGAACGACGATTTCTTTGTTCTGCAATATGTGCCGTTTCAAGGTCACATGCCGGACATTTTTCTCATTACGCCCAACGGTTCGGTTCAAGCTGTAATTATAGGGAACGTCTAGGAATAAATGCCCCATGAAAACGAATGATTTGAAGTATGACTTTGTGAAGAAGGTGACGCAAAACTGTCCACGAGGTGCGTCAACAGTGGGTGTGAATTGAGCGGCTCATCTTTGTTTTTTTCGTTCCCTCGAATTGCAGGCAATGAGCGGCTTCCTGATGATGATGACGCAAAATGGCAAGCTGCTCTACATCTCCGACAACGCGGCAGAGTACCTGGGGCACTCGATGGTGAGTTCCCTCTTCCGTTCCATTATCTGAGGATCTTCATACTTCAGAAAACTCCTCGGAGGTTGTGTAAGTGGTGAAAATTTTGACGCTAGTTTCTGTGCACCTCTAGCTATTATTTGCACGATAACGGATCATGAACTCTGTCGTGTTTTCCAGGCATATAAACCGGTTTTCTCGCGCTCTCACTGCTTAGCCATTTTTGTATTATTCGGGAGCGGTTAATCCCCAATATGATTTACTCTATCTGAGTGTATCTTATACCGATTTATAGAGCAATACAGTGTGCAGTGAATGAAAATGTTAGCTGATGTCAAAAGCCCGGCTATTGTCGGCTCGACATGATGGCCTGAATCCTGATTCCGTCGTTAGGCTAGTCTGGGTCGGGCTAGTTACGTAATGTTCGGTAGGTATAGGCTCAGACAGGGCTAACCTTCTGTTGGGTTAAGCTGAACTGTCGGTAAACGAGAGCATCGCTAACAGCGAACTTCTAAAATGTTAACTCGCATCCGCCCTTAGCCGAGGCAACACCGCCTAGAAGAATCAAAGTCTGTGAGCGGCCTCCGCTACCCCCACGTGACGCTATCAAACTCTGATGGTACAGAGTCTGATGACGTCACTGAGTCATCAAACTCTGATGACTCAGCGATCGAGCCCGAGTCTGCGTCCTTCGACGCATTGTTTGAAGAAGAAAGCTCAGCCGACCGCTGACACAGTGCTTGTGTCCAATAGACTCTTCCAAAAATCCCTGTAAGTAACACTGCGCGCGTTGCAATATGGGACGTCTTTTTGTCGTGGAGGACTGGCATGGTTTCGATTTCAATTGACCCGTTGACGAAGTAGTGCATTTCAGCACCGCATAAAATAAACTTAGCGCTCGGTCCCACTGCACCCCTTCATCTTCGCGAGAGTCCCCATTGAAACACGGACCTCCAGCGGCCGCAAGGACCTGCTGCAGGCTTAGCGAGGAGTAGGAGTAGGGCCTTTCTTATGGCCTGGCTACCGCACCAAAGGGCAAAATGACTCTCCCGGCTCACGAATAAATTAACAAGCCCATTGAGGAGAGAATGTGGAACAAGGTGACTGTTCCAGTATATCCATCCCTCCATGTGCCTTGGTAGTCCGGTTTACATAAAAACAAACTCTGGCACGTCAAAAAAAAAAGTACCCATTTTATTTGTATTGGTAAGCAACACTTACAGCCAACACCTACAGGCAACGCCTGGTCATGGCGGAATGTTGTGAAGCAGGCACGTAGCCAGGATTTTGTTTCGGGGAGGGGGGAGAGGAAGCCCCAGCAAAATAGAAAATTTCGGGGGGGGGGGGGGGGGGGGGGGCGTGCGCCCCCCCCCCCCCCTCCCCTGTTTCTTGGCTACGTGCCTGTTGTAAAGTAAGGTTGACTACTCGAAACTGAAACTGTGGCCAAGGGATTTCTAAGATGCTTTGCACGGCACTACGCCGCTAGTTTCGCGTCGAATTTTCGAGAGATCTATTCGCGACTGTGCTCGATTTTACTATCGGTACGTCGAAAACTCGAGTGCACGGGCTATGATTATAATTCTGCGGTGGTGTTGGCTGAAGAAGAATTGGCGAAGATAATCCCACTCCACAATACGTGACGTTTCTTTCATGGCTCTTGCCTTTTGGTTGCTCTCCAGACATTTGCAAGTACGGCCTATGGTCGAGCATTGCTGAGGCTGTGGGTACGCCTCAGCAATACTTGACTATCAGACGATACACCACCACCAGAAGCAATATGGCGGCGGTCAGAAGCCGTACCTGCAAACGTCCCTTTTGAAAGCCCCACCAAGCAACCTTTGAGGTCGTTATGTCTAGGACACAAAGCGTCTAATCGGATCCAAGTCTTCAAATGCCGACGCACACCTCGCGTCCAGTACAGACCGTTTCTTCGTCACGGACGCCATGTTGAATTTGGACGTGAGTTGGGGCAAAATAGCAAATCACTTTACTTGTCGATTGGAAGGCGCTAGAATTCAAGGGGATCGTTCCAATGGGTCTACTTTTTTTTTCTATAAACTATATATATATTTTATTTTAATTATAGTTATGCTTAAAGGAATGCTGAACCGGAATTCAGAGCTCACAACACGAGGCTGGAGCGATAGGCGGAACGCTGCAAAATTCAGAAACATCACTCATCCCGCGATATATCTAACGGATGGCCGTGCTTTTTGGAAAACAAGTGCGCGATTGAACACGGCCGACGGGGCCGACGGGCACGACGGGGCCGACGAGACCTGTGACGTCGCGATTCTCATTCCTTCTCTTCTTCGTCTCATCCCCTGGAGGAGCAGGTGAACTGAAGCGAAAAGAGGAGAGACGCGAGGCCGCTTCCCCTCATTCTCAACTGTTCGAAAGGAATTGTTACGTCACACTCCTCGCTCGATCGCGCCTATCTTTTACGAAAATGCGGCCATCCGTTTGAGATATCCACGACGTATGAGTGATGTTTTGGAGTTTGTAAAGTCCCGTTCAACGCTTCTGCGGCCTTTTATTGCGAAATCCAAATTTCGGTTCACCATCCCTTTACACAATTTACTTTATTTTTTGTCGCCCAACCAAACTACGTTATATTTCAATAAGGCAACCGTCACACGAAGACGGTCTATACTACTAGCTCAGAGTGCATCTCCAAACGATGGTGGACTCGTATAATTCGCGTAGTAGCTGGCGCACACTTTCAAGAAGACTCTATTGGCGCACTTAAAACTAAACGCGACATTAGACACCACAAGAGTGAAAAGAGACACACTTGAGTCGTTTCCCTGGGAATCACTTAGTCGACACGTCGCGCACGGTTGGCCAACACGCCACTTTATCCGCGACAAGAACGAGCGCCGAGCCGACCCATGCGTGTAGCGTTTCTTGTGCACGTCCATTGGGCGTAATGCGTTTGCTGCCTGCGGCGCCGCCCCTCGCCCGACTCCCGAGTTAACTTACGGGTTGCTGTCGTTAGCCACTACTCTCTCTCTCTCTACCACTATCACCCTCTTTCTCTCTATACACTCATATACACTACCCTCCCCTTTGCTCGTTCTCTCTATATTGGAGCCTGCTCGCGCCTAATTTTGCGGTAATCGGGCGATGCATCTATCGATGGCTCGTGACCTCCTCGAGCGAGGAAAGGGGAGGGAAGCTGGGTGCACGCTTGCAGTCCGCGTTCCGGCTACATCCGGCTCAGAACTTGAATGTATACACACGCTAGATAGACGGAGACAAAGCCGTTTGATTGTCCGACCCCGTATACCGAAACGTGAAAGTGATATCGAGCACGTATATACGCATCACGAAAGACAGGTGCACAGCGGTGACGGAGCGTTGTGCCTGTGTCTCCCGTTGTCTCGCGCCTTTCTCCTATAGTCGTGCTCGAAAAGATCGTCTCGGCGAGCTGCCAACTCGTAGGGTCGGGGGAGGAGGTAGTTAAATGACATCCAGCGTCAGCCATTCTTTTTTTTTTTTATCTTTTTAGCGGTATGCGATTAATTGTACCCGATTGACGGAAGAAAACGCGGTTGAAGGTGGTGGGAAAGATTCGCAGCTCAACGATCTGTCGACCCGAAAATGGCGTCCGAGTGTTTGATATGTTTCCTGCGGACGGTTTTTGTATGACCGGTGTGAAAGGACCGACATACGAGGAGCAAACACGCCTCACATTAAGAAGGAAAGGACCGTGTGCGTTTACTCGTAATGATCCTCCGTCAGATTGCGGGCACTACGGACGGTTATACCTCCCCCCAAAACGAGACCGCGATTACTGTCTCTGTGGACACAGACAGTTTAAGAGACGCGGGGCGGGGCCTATAATTATGCGCACGCTTCCTGCCATCGCGATTGGTCCTTCGGAGTTCTCATCGGCATGATGTCGCAATCCGATTGGCTGGGGAGCGATAATTAGATGCGCGGGACTCGGTGCACGTAAAGATTTCGGCCACTGTGCGGGCAGAAACTGAGGGAGAGCAGGAGACGAGAGGGCGCGGGGACGCCAGAATGCCGAGCTCCAACTGGAATGCATGATTAGTGGGTATAGCCATACCCTCCTCCATACTCACAAAGCCTGGCAGTTCGACGGCGGAGCCATAGAGTGCCCGGTCGCAGATTTCGAGCGTGAGGATCTGGTAGCACAGAGCATCAAAAAGCCATTTCTCGGGGAACCTGGACGTCAGAGCACAGCTTTTGCAGCGGCGAGGACACGAAACACATCGGTTGCCCGGGAGAAATGTGTTTCGGTGACCCGCCGCCGCGGGGCGCCAGTCACGTGCCTCTCCTCTCATCCGTTGTCTGCCGCTGCAACTTTTTCCATTTCGGCGGCCGCTTCTCCTGGCGATCTGCCACGCAGCGGCTAAAGCTGGAACTACGGTTGACGTGGGGAAGGGGAGTTGCATTACCTCTCTCGTCTCCTCTGCGACTCAGATGCGCCTCGGAGAAGGCAGGATGGTAATTTCAAGTCCCCTTGCCGCTTAATAGCGCCTTTACGTGAAAAAAAAGGGTATGTTACCGAAGACAAAGCGGGGAGAGAGATGGGGGTAAAAGGGTGCGAATGCAAGCGCGCGCGCCAACGCGTCGCAAAAGAGTGTACAGTGCTTCCGGGCACGGCTGCCTGCCGGGCGCTCGTAAATTAAATCGGACATTTGTTCGTTTGTCCGTCGCCGCGGACTCTCAGTGGGACAAGGTTGGCGCATGCTAATCGCGCGGCCCCGCGGAGACACCCGGAATGTAGCTCCGGGCGCAGGAGAGAGTACGTCCGCGTACGCCGTGTGGAGCACGGGAGTTGCATCGAACGTTGGAAGGAGTAGGCTATTGGATTCCGCGAAAGGCCAGGCATACGCATTAATGCTGTTTTACATCGCACGGTAGGTGGCGCAAGTCGCCGCCCTATCCAAACGGTTCAGCAGCATCCAGTATAGTTTATTCGGACACCCACCCCAGCCCGCAGCCCCTACCAGAAATGTGTTACCCCCCCCCCCCCCCCCCCACACACACAC